TAGGTTTGAGAGCAGCGCAAAATTATTCAACGTGCCGGCAAAATATAGATGTCCCCGCATTAGCACGCTTTTTCAGAAACTTAGGGAAAAGGTTGGAGACCTGGACTGAAAATGTAGGAACACCCCGATTTGAAGATCTATGTGATTGGTAGTCATCCCCAATCATAAAAAAATTATTTAAATTGGAATTTTATAACTATAAACACATCCTGTTATTCCCCTCCATGAGGAATGCCATCAGACTGTAATATCAAACCCACGGTTCTTTTCAAAGAGAGTTCTTCAGTGAGTCGACAGCCTTTTCGGTGTCTTGAAAAGACGGTTTGGATAATAGTAGGTCAGTTTCTACTTTGATCGGACCATCCCGCCGACTTACCCTGGACTGTCAATGTCTCTCGTCGCTAAGGACAGGATGCTGAATCGCGGCACCGCCAACGAAACAAGAAAGGTCAAAAATTAAACCCTAGGTAGGTATTCACGACGCTGCAATGCGAATGCTACTTGTAAAATTGCAATGCATTGAAAGTCACCAGCCACCTCATATCAGTCGCATCGCAACGATTGAAACACGCCCTTGCGGCCAGATAAATCCACATATCTAGAATTTTCAGTAAATTATACTGGCTGGTTCGGTACACTGATAGTTGGCTGTTAAAAGCAGCGAATCGGCCGACCGGCCGGGCCATAGGAGTACAGTGTTTTGTAGGCGGCCTGTCACCGAGGCGGCCGACCAACTAAAAATCATAGGATATTTTTCCTCCGAGTTGGAATGAAACCTAGAAAAGACACCATGCTACCGTAGAGTACGGAGTCTTTACAGAAACGTTTGCTGGTGTTATGTGACAAAATGCACTACCATGGAGGCATAATATCTATCTGTGGAGACCTTATGTTCTGTTTCGCATAGTGCGCAGTATTTTTGTCGTCTTGGCCGTCACCAAAATTTGCTGTCCAAAAACATTTCTGGTACCAAGCTTTGCGTGAATATGTATCTTTTCGTCCCCGACCTTGTCTACCAAGTTGGCAAGTTTTACCACCCCTGAGCGTACCATACGCGGGGCGAAGCGGCATTCGTGGAGAGGATAAGCCAGCAATGCAAACCGTCAAACGCCCCTCTCTGCAATATGATAGCGGGTGAAGCATGTAGCGGGAAAGCGTGTCTCGAATGCGGTCTCAGAGCTGAAGGATTGAGGAAGCAATGTCATAGTCTCAGGGAACGGGAAACGAGATAAGCTTGGCACTAGCGGGGCGTTGTAAACTACCGGCGAATTACCCAAGGTTTGCTTGCCACAAACAGGATCGCGATTCTGCTCTGAGCACCTTCAAAGCATCTGCCACCTGTTCTGAAGTGTATAACGCTGCATTTACTGTGGTAGAACTGCGCCCAGTTCTGAAACGGGCGAAGAGTGCTTCTTCTGGACCTGGCGGTATCCATAACAGCATGTTTGCTCGGCTGGATACGCCTCGCAGATATACTATACTTCGACTTGTCAATTTTGTTATTGATGAAGCATGGTTTTCCCGCAACATGGCGTGAATGTACTATGGCTCTTGTCTTAAAAACAATGAAAGATGGTTTTGGCTCACTACATTTTGTCCCGTCTCTCAAACATCAGGATAATAAAAACGCTTGGAAACGATGGTGAATGCTCAACTGTCGTTCCTGGAAAAACATGGGCACCTATCGAATATCTCACGCGATTTTCGAAAGAACCGAGGCGCAATGAACCACCTGCGATTTTATACCCCGCTGTCAGACAGTCATTGAAATAAAACGACACACCGGAGCAGTGTTATTTGACATTGAAAAGCATACGACGCAGCAGGGCGATGCGGTATACTCTCCAAGATCAAGGCGTATGACAAGTGGTCACATCGGTCCCTTTACTCATAACGTTTGGATAGGAGGTACTTCCGCGTTTAAGTTGGCCGCCTTTATCGGACCATTTCGCACAAGGGAATGGCATTCCGCAGGGCAGCGTGATAAGTGTTGTCTTGTTTGCTCTGACGATCAATGGCATTGCTGATGTTATACCATAACATACAGGCCGGTCTCTAATTGATGGCACATTCGCCATTTAGCGTTCAGCATCTACGATATCGTCCGCTGAGAGGCAAATTCAGCTATGCCTTTTGAAGTTGTATGAGTGGAGCGTCAAAAATGGGATCAGCCTTTAGACGAGCAATACCAAATGCACACACTTCTGTACGCGTGTAGAAGAGTGCAGGAACCCTTTGCTTCACCTGGGCGCCGCCATCATTCCGGTCGGTGACGAAATGAAGTTCCTTGATGTCGACGATGCTCTTTTAAAGGTCATATCAAATATCTTAGTTAGCTGTCATAAACGCATGAATATCCTGAAGGTGATGTCTTGCATGACCTATGGGGAAGACTGCTACACCTTACTTAGACTGTAGAGATGATTTATTCCCTGGGTGCTGGATTATGGAAGTCACGCATACGGCTGTGTTCCGTTGTCCTCTAAAGAGACGTTTGCTAGCGTCTACCACACGTGGGTCGGCATTGCCACTGGAGGTTTCCGCACAACCCGCAAGAAAAACCTGCTGAAAGAGGCGAACGAACCGCCGCTTCATCTTGGTAAAAGCAAACTAACTCTGAATAACGCTATAAAGGTGTTGCAGCTCCCTCACCACTCAGCAGTTTTTGCTCGCAGTTTTTGCACACGTTGACCCGGTTGTTCTTGAAAGGACAGTCTATTTCATCACGGCCCATGTGCTTGCGTTTGCGATATTGACTGGGTGAGGCGGGTATCCACTTCGAAAAATCACCCAGCGCACTTTTGGTGACCTTTCTCAGTGGTGTCGCACGGCCCCGCCGCTTGGTTTAGACTTCAGCGGCTTAAAAAGAGTAGTATGTCCATTCAGGAATTTGCCAGCATGGCAGCGGAGCAAGTCTCGCTTTACCACGGCTCAGTGAAGATATTTGCTGACGGCACGAAGGGTCCTGCTGGCACTGGCTGTACCTTCGTTTGCGGAGACAAGGAGCAAGGTGCCTACCTACCGCGGCACCCATCAGTGTTCCGCACACTTTTGCCATCCTAACGGCGCTACAATATATCCATTGTCGTACGGAGCGGGACTTTCTAAAGTCAACTGACTCCCTCAGCGCCCTTATATCATTGCACTCACCCTTAGTATCCCATGACTACTCGTATCTTAAAAGATTTCGACCATTATCTGAATGATTTTCTCCATCAAAAGTTAAAGTCACCTTCATATGGATTCCTAGCCATGTCAGAATTGTAGCCAACGAGAGAGCAGACGCCCCAAAGAGAGCAGCCACATCTCGGGATTGTCCGCTTCCCATCAAGCTGTCGGTGGGTGACCTGAAGTCGGTAGCTGCCAGGTATGTTCGTGGCAGGTGGTAAAATGATTTTGACGAAACGAGTCCCGCATTCAGTACCAGTAAACCATTGCTTGGTGAGTGGAAAACGCCTCATCGAAATAAAATATTTGAGTTGAGAGAGCTCGCGAAATGGCCACTTAGTCGACGCCCCCATAAACCGTAGATGTCATGATCATCATTGGTGTCAAATTCGCGCATAGGTAATGAAAGTGGCAGAAGATAGAATAGATCACAAATCAATAAGTCCCTACCTAATGCCGAAGCGTGCTAGGTAGATGCTAAGAATACGAAACTCACATCAGGCGGGAAACTGCTGGGTGAGAAAGTTACTTTTGGTCCCTGGCTGTAGAGGACAATATGCTCATTCGTGTGTTGTTTTTAAAATGCATTTAGTTGGGAGCGGACATAAAGAAAATAACCTGTGAAAATGCCACGATCTTTGTTCTGATCGATATCTGAGAATGGATTAGTTGATGCATCAAACTCAACTTGAAGATGATGTTAAACTCAAATCTGGCTGACTGACTGGGTAAACAGAAAGTGTAGCATTGTTATGGAATTCATGTTTTTTAATTGCTTAAATAGGAGGTGGCTTAACAACTTTGCGGTATGCTGTGTACCACCAGATTATACTCGAATTAGTTTTTAACTTTGAAATGCGTTGTCACCCGGTTGGGCTAAATGCGATTGCAAGCAAGATGATAAGTAATTGTTGTTACGTGATAATAAGATGGGGAAGGAAACGGTCAAAGATTTAAGTAACCTTTGAGGGAATAAAAGCTCCGCCTTTCCATAGCAGCATATTTAAGTGTTACTCATAGCTGGTTGTCAATGTGATATGTTCATACCAAATTTGTTTATGTAATATTTGGCTATTTGGCTGAGTTATGTACCTTGTAGTCTGCGCGTTGCATGGATTTTGAAATCTTGTATTCTATTGGTATAAAGGTATATATTTCCATCGAGCATTTCAGGGACCATTTAGTGATAATTTCAGTTTTATTGATTTTTAATTCGTTCAGTCTGTGTGAGCTATAAAATTAGAAAGTGCGGTCCGGTCCTAATCGATTTCATGGCGGAGGCCTAAAAATCCGGTCGAATCAGGCCCACGGATTGCTCCACAACCCTTGGATCCGTGAAGCACTCTGATCTGTAAGCATTTTTTCGTCCACGTTTTGTTAAAACGTTTGCATCACATTCAACCTGACGTAATTCATCATCGTGGCGCAATGCAGAATATATGCCGTTTGGGCTAATGAAACACAGTTTTGGATGGGATGGGAAATGAGCAAACGTTGCATGTATTGGGTACCATCTTCGTGCTTCATGGACAAACGCCAACTGAATGTCTTGCACTGAATACTCCACCACTCCCTGTTTTCACAACTCTGACTAGGTTTCATGGAAATGTAGGTACTGGTTGTAAGTGTCTTTTGTTTTATGAGTTGTAACCATCTTGTCCGTATCGTTCCGTGTCAGTATTTCAGCTTTGTTATAATGCAGCTTTAGCACTGACAGCAATGTTTTGCACTGCCTTGCATTGAGCACTTACTAGGGGGGAAACAGTGAAAGACATCACTGAAGATCCGTGCTGATGACACACCGAGAAAGATCGTGTACATTACTCTGGACACGTTTATTTTGATGGATATGTTGAATGCGACGATATGAAGAAACCATTACTGTTTTATGCACGCAGCATTCGGAACTTAAGGGACCTGCGTGGCGATCCGCGGATGATGCATGCATGAACAAGTAATTTATTGGAGCAACGTAACTCATTACGTTAACCTTTCTACCTACGTGAGATCTTGGAAAAATCCCTCGCACATACATTTTCGTGTTGCAGTACAACGGTCACTTGCTGCAGAAGCAGAAAACACTAAACGAGCTCAGCCATCTTCTGCGCATTGTTCGTTATTTGTGACTTCCGGTAAGCAGAATCGAGAGCAGCGACAAATCAAAATATACCGCACGCGCAACGGTTTGAATAGTCACATTTTGCAAGCACCAAATGGATGCATATTCTCATGTATACAAGCTGTGTAATTTACAGTCGATTGTTTATGATAAACAGTGAGAGGACCGTGCCGTATCCAACCACCCGGTAAAACAACACCACGCGTGCCCAGCTGCGCTCCAGGTGTGTTCCTCTGCCTACCACCCTGGCCGAGAGTACAGGGAGACAACCGCGTCCCCTCCCCTCGGCCTCCAGACCGCGACTCTCGCAGCTCGCGCGTGTAGCATCGTGAGCTTGACTGCTCAGCTCGGTACTTGTGATGTCTGCTTGCTGATAATTGTCGCGACTCAGCGCCCAGATCTCCTCCCAGCCCTTCAGTCAGAGATCTGCACGCAGCTCCAGCGAGCATCGCCGGTTCAAATCTGCGCTGGCTTATTTCATGTTGCGTTTCCAGCTCTTTGCGGCTCGCCCCGCTCCCGAGCCGTGGCTAGCTGGAGACCAGCGCGTACTGACATTAGAATGGCTGCCCTCCTCTGTAGCTACACGGAGATCTATTCTTCCCGGCTTCAGCTACGCACATTACTATGCCCACTCAGCTCAGGAATGTTTTCAGGGAGCGTGCCACAGACTTCGCACATATCAGCACATTCACACTGCATGACGAACAATTCAATATTATAATTATAACGCGAACAGCAGCGCCTGCTGATCGCGAAAGCAGTTTACCCCTCGGAATTAAACATCACGTCAGATGTTATCTGGACGTCTTAACGGCTGCAGACGTTGTTGCAAGCGCTGAACGGCGCTGGTCTCCGACTGCCAGCTAACAATTCGCGGTTACAAAATGAGGTCGCGCTGGAAGTCGTGTAGAAGAATGCAACATGGTCGGCTAATGCTTGTCGGTGGAGGTGGCCAAGGTGTTCCGCTCAGCAAATTCCGGCGAAGTGCTGCTCGTGACAGCCCGTAAAACAGCACCTAGAAAGAGAACGGACGTCGAAATAAAGGCTTCAGTGATGTGTGGGTATGCACCTGTTGATTGTCGTAGACAGTTCTGGCACGCTACATTGGAATAAAGTGAAACAGGCTGTCCAAAATATTACTGACGATAACTTTGAAACATTGCAAAATGCCAGATCACAGGTAACGCGTGGCGCGTTGAATAGCTCATAGCGTATAACGTGCCATTGTCGTTTTATGTTAGATCGACGCGAGAATTCACTGCCTTATTTTGTTGGTGATGCCGGAAAGCAAATCTCAACATCCTACATTTTTACTAATATGTTCCCTATTCTTAAATGCATACACCTTACAAAGTATTTGAAAATGCACAGTTTTCCACCAGTAGCGTTTACTTACAGGGCCAGGAGCTTGTTGTAGTGTGCGCGTGACCGTTTGGAGACGAACGTGCCGCGGAGGTCTGTGCTCCGTTTCCACAGGTGCAGCCATCGGGGGCTAACTGCGCTTGGCCCGGGCTGCGGACTGCGGTGGCTGAGCCGTCCCGAGTGCTGCCGACGCCGTCCGCTAGACCACGGAGACACTCGATACAGCAGCGAGTTCTCGAACCTGTGCGGTCCGGCTGGCGGACAGGGGGGCGGCCGTCAGCCGACGGACAACGCAGTGTCAGCGGCACAGGTGCTGGCACAGTCCGTCAAACCGGCCCCACTTGCACGGCTCAGCCGGGTCACAACTTCTCTCCCGCACATCACACCGGATTGTCTTGCATCATTTGACCTCGACGGGAAAGCGGGAAAGCGCGTGCGTCTGTAAAAAGTGCTTTCGCAAACATCAACATTTTGCTGTTGTAGTAACACGTGCGTACTGTGAGATGATTTGTAAATGCTACGACGCTTTTAAAAGTGTGTTAGCTTGGTATGATGATAGTTAAGTGCCATTTTTGAACAACTGAGATGAGTGTATTCTACGGAACATCCAGGTTAAGGAAAAGTTTGAAAGAGCCTTTGGGCTCGTCGTTCATGTTGTAATGCAGAAGGAAACTTAGCGCTCCATATGGGTGAGTTTCCTCCGGACGCCTGGCAATGAATTAACTAGACTGGATGACCTCATCCGAACTCGGCCAAGAAAGCGTCCAAAGTACTTTTAATAAGCTTCTGCTCTTCGCTGGCTTCATAAATGACGAGGCAGATCTAAAACATCTGTTGTTCGCTGGATTCCAAAGTACCTGGATAAACTCAAGGTTTCCATGCGTCACGAATATAGACCGCAACGCACCATTAAACACAATACAAATGCTGCACGAATACGTCAAGCAGCTTGCTCGGGCTCGATTGGCACTCCCGCTTGGAAATCCATGACGCAGGCGCCCGGTGCGCTACCTTAAATCGCTGCGCCTTGCCGTAAATCGCTGTACCTTGCCGTAAATCGCTGCACCTTGCCGTAAATCCCTGCGCTTTGCCGTAAATCGCTGCACCTTGCCGTAAATCGCTCTGCACCTTGGCGTAAATCGCTGCACCTTGCCGTAAATCGCTGCACCTTGCCGTAAATCGCCTGGCAGTTGGAGCGCCAGCATCTCCACTACGAGCGGTCTTCATGCAAAGGCCAGCGTTTTACGTTCTTAAATGTCGCCGTCGGACCCCTCATTTTGCACATTGTCAAGAGATGCGTAATTCGAGGTGTGATTAAGCGTCGCTCCAAGCATATGCAGCTTAGCATGGAGTCTCTCTGGCGTTGCAGCCACGGTATGGTGAGTTCCGTCGGCTGGGGGAGGTAACACATATTTTGATCTGTGCTAGTCTGTAAGTGTCGGAATCATCAATAAATATGGACTGAGGAGCCAGGTTATCTACTTCTGGCCTTGCCTCGTTAGGTGGGACGCAGAAAGGCAGCGCACATATTTGGCCATCTGAATGTGATGAAAGGTGAACACGGTCTTCACTGACCACCGCAGAGGGTCCGCGGCCAGCGTGATGCTTCATCACCAGCGATTAAGTGCATTGCAATGTGTCTTGTCCCTCTAGTGCTTTTTTATTCACTTATCATCTGATGTCTGAATGGCTGACAGCTGCTCGACAGTTTGTCGCACTCTGGCTTTGTCTGATATCTGCATTGCAGCAGGGCGATCTCAGGCACACGTCTGAGGCTGGCATCGTTGCACGGATGACGTGGTTTCTGCACACCATTCAACCATGAACTTCTCCGAGCGTACATGATAGGCATGTGCCGACAGTGTAACTTTGTACTAAAATAGCAGTTACAAAAATTTAAAAGATTGACAAGCATTTGCAAAAGTCAGCTGAAGTCAAAGTAGCAATTAACTCTGTACGCTGCCAGTTAGAATCAGAGTCGACTCTGCTCAGTGATGTCGGGCACAGGCCTGCTGAAAAGTACATTAGCAGGGCTTTACAACCTTGAACGGCCTGTAATTTGCTTGCGATTCCCAAACGGTTTTCTTCGAGCATTTCCACGTGAAAGGAAACGAAATTTGGGAGCCACGTCATACCAATACAGCATGCGACAAACGACGGTGACGGCGATCACACCGGGTGGCAGCTGTGGCCGGCCCACCTGAGCCGTCGAGCGGCTGCTGTAGGCCGCTGTATTCGGCCAGCGGCGGCACCTGCGATCGCTTGCCGAGCATGTCACACGCGCGGGCCCAGTACATCTCGTCAAACTCGGAGCCGCAGATGCGGCGCGACTGCACGTGGTCGGCCGCCGCCCACCCACTCAGGAATCCGGTGGCCGCCAGCAGCAGCAGCAGGCTACGCAGCAGTCTGTGCAGCAGCCCACACTGTGGGGACGGGGGTAGTCAGGTCAGCGGTGTCCTCCGCGCCGCCGGCGCGGCGCCGAAACGGGGGCAAAAAGGACAGCAATCAACACTGCGGGAAAGCCCGCAGCAGTCTTTCACGTAGGGAACACCGTTTAGATAGGAGGGACCACACCGGATCGGACTGGACTAAACAATGATTTTTGCACAATATATGTAAGAACTGGCCAATGACATACTGGCAGGGGGAGAGCGGAAAGTTGCCCACTCTTACTACGGTGTGGACGAAAAATTAATCGGCAAATGTAACGTCGTTAGAGCCATTATGCAATTCTGGATAGCCTTTATTCGGTTCACTGCTAAATTTAGCATCAAGATAAAGGCAGTATAATGCCATTTATTTTTCTTATTTCCATACATTGGACTCGCAAACCACCCGTGTTGTTGTAAGGTGTCGGAAGCTGAACGGATTTGTAAGGCTAACCGAGTGCTGACTAAGTACTGACTAATTGAAACTTCAAATGCCACATACTGTTGGCGTTTGAAACCGCCCAACAGGTGTTACGCCAGGTGCGCTTTGAAGTCCAGCTAGGTCGGTGACATAGATGATGTTTCGGGAAACACTTGAAATGCGAACGGGCGTGTGACGTTGTCATGTCTTCAGATCAACGAAGGTGAACGGATTGTGCCAGTAGGACACAAAGAATCAAAATGCCGAATATACTTGAATGGTTTGCTGGCGATACAACTTTGAAAAATATGCTGGAATTCAACGTTCAACGCGCGAGGCTGGGCAGACGCTTCACGACGCTTCTGAGATCATATGGGGACGCGTGCCAATCATTCTGGCATAAAGAATGGCCACTGCCGGGAATTGAACCCCACAGTGAGCGGTTAAAGGCAAAACTATAACGTGTACACATGATTTAAGTCGTGATGCCACTCAGGTGACGCGTCATGACGCGAATGTTGAAATGGTGGTGGTGGCGGTAAGCGGCGAAGCTTTTGCAGTTCTTTAACTTTTGACGCGAAGTTCTTTCTTGCAGTAAAGCATGCGGACAACTCCCTGGAATATAAGCAGCATGTTTGTGTTGTTAGCATGGAAATACTTAAGTGGTGTGCTGCCTGTTTTGAGTGCTTTGAAGTAGAGTGGACTTACAATCTGGGTGAAGAACGTGACACAAGCGACGCATATGACACATAATGTGAGTTATATATATATATATATATATATATATATATATATATATATATATTAAAAACAAGGATATTGATTATCCTGCGCCCCCCCCCCCGCACGCAAATCATCTGGCATTCGAACTACAGGATAGTTGTAGTATCATGTAGTAGTATCTTGCAAATTAAGCATGTTTTGTGATACGTATTATTCGAAATACGCAACACGTAGTGCACACGTATTTCACACACAACTGCCTAGGTACTTTCCTTTTGTTTTAGCGTATACAGTACCATGGAATCAAAACGCGATAGCGTAATCTCGATCGCTCGTGATGCTGTTGCTGTTAATTCCCTTCTGAGAACCCACCTTGAAATCGCACAGATTACTTGAGCTGATCAGGAGCTGAAGGCCTTCTCGTTCTAGCCCGGGGGAACTAGCAACTGTTATTCAGGTGATACGGGAGCCGGGATGCCCTGGTCGATATGGAAGCCTTCAGAAGGATACCTCATGCGCCGGCCCTGTCTCTGATGCCACAGACCCTCTGACCTGAGCATGTGACACAGGATCGACGCTGGGGTGCGTCATTGACGTAAAAGGTTCCCCCACCGGCACAGGATGTTAGTGCCTAATTGGAGCCGAGACACCAATGCGGCTAATCAATTTCTGCCTCCTGGTTGAAACGGTGCGAAGGGCCACTCGTTTGGTCTCGCGACCTCTGACTGGCGCAGGTCACCGCCTCACTGTGAGTGCAAACTGTTGCATCATCATTTATCATGTCTCTTGTTACTGTTAAGAGGGTCCTGACCAACTCAAGAGGCCTTTTGATATTTGAGACCCCAATCCCGTCCCTGTTCAGCAAATGTGCTCATGGCTCACTTCGTGGAGCCAAATATGGCCAAATTATTATGTAAGAAATAAAATGGCCAAATCTGGTTATATATCAGTCATTGGAAGTATGAAAGGCTATCAGTAAGGTATGCCAAGATACAAAATTACTGCCTTTTCAAGGGCAGACTTTTCCGCTTCCCAACTGAACAGTCAGCACCTTTCACGTAATTTGCTGACGGACAGGGCTATCCAACGCAAACGCAAAATGTTGCCAACGCCTATGCATCATCTGGGCCAGGTCGGTCCAAAAGCCAGGTACCGGAGAAAAATTAAACATGGTAAGATATTAAAGCTAGATTGGCTTAGATTTATCATCATTGACCCCTGCTATGAACAACAACAAAAAAACGTGAAAAGATAGCTTTAAAGTTGTCACCGACAAATAATTCCCTTGCTTCAAGTTGTGCTCTTTTATTAACTATGAATTGTTCAATTTTGGGTGCATGTCAAACGTGTTTAAGCGGCTGGTGATTTAATTCAATACATGTATGAAGTATGTAGGAGTTCGCAGTAAAAAGGAAATTTCAGAGAGATTAGCTGATATTTTAGGTCATTGATAGTTTCTTTAAAGATTTTTAACGAGGAAGGAAAAATGTGTTGATATTACCTCTGTATAAAAACAAGGAAAACGAAAGAAGAGTCTGAAACACGAAGGCTTTGAGTTCTCTTGTCAGACGTTCTAATCAACTCAATTGACTAAAACCTGTGAAAAGCGGCGCTGAAGTGGTGACTTAAGCCTTTGAAGTTCATTTCGAACGCATTTCTTGACTTTTTACTCCCACATTTCGGGAATAGTGCAATTAAGTAGTCGAATCTTTTTGGGAAAAATATTACGTGGAGCACAATTCTCTACCAGACTTTGCGTAGCATTGGTGTGGTGTGACCAAAGAATGGGAATGCATGGAAACCTTACCATGGAACACAGCTATAGTTTGTGGTGCATTTTGTTAACAACCCAGATTGATGAATGCAAGCGGCTGGAGTCCCTGGGCACTCGGACTTGAAGGTGCCAAGTGCCCTTACCCTGTGAATACATAGGCATGGCTCGGATGTAGATGAGCTTTTTATCAGCACGCGCCCGGATGGCCGCCTGAATACCTGTCGCTCGGATGGGGGTTAATCTGATCGCTCTAAGATCTCATAAACCAAGATAGCTAGAGACACCAAACCCACAGGGAGATTGGTCTGTGCGTGAACTTGCTTGTGTCGAAATGTAAGGTTCCTTTTTCATGATCTTGGGGTCAAGCAAAGCTGTATAGATAGTCACTGTATATAACTCGAGATTGCTTCTATGTTTTCATTCGAATGAGCGTCAGGAATTACGTTGGGCAGTATGTTCCCAAAAACAGAATGTTGACGTAAGAAAGTTTCAGTGATCTAATCTGACCTTAAAAGAGTCTATGGCACATGGCGGTTTTAGAAATCCGGACGTCTGTCAAGCGTGGCGTGTTGTGTGTACCCTGAACCCATCATCTTAGCTGTGCCGTTCAGTTAAACCGAGAAGCTCGCCTCTATCCTTTCGCCGGGCAGACAGCGAGCATTTCACGTGCTGCACGAGGTTGCGGCACAGTTGCGCCGGTTGTCTTTATCGCGCCACAATTGTGCCACCCGGCCAGTTAAACGAGAAATCCCTTAGGGGAAAAATTTGGGGGACGCTCGTGAAGCGAGGTGGAGAAAAACCGTCGTACGGCAAAGTTTAAATCAGCCTCGTCCAGGGCAGAGAGGTTCTCGTGCTCGTCTACTCTCGGATAGTTTTTGCTCCCTGCCGCAAACCACCGCCCGTCACATCTGATTGATCCCACATCCAGCGGCGGGACATCCCCTCTGGCCCGGTCGCAAGTGTGCGGCTCTGATGAAGGTGCCAATGACCTGCTTTACGGCCAGTTACGTCGCTCGTAGGCGGTATATCTTCCGTGACCAGGGTGCGAAACAGACGGCTGCTATCCCCTTAGTCGGGGTCTGGATCCCGTTAGCAGGTACGCCGGCTCCTCGTTAGCGCACGGGATGAAGATTACACGTATTCGCGGTGATCTAAAGGTCACGTCGTCGGCACGGGAGAACTGCCGGTGAGATGCATGTATACAGAGTGTATGGTGGTAATGTCACTTGGGGAGATCTTCAAAATTTTATCTAAACAAGTCGCGATTCGCATGTGGGCATCATGTCTAGGAATTGATCGATTTGGTCTCCCATTTGGAGTCCAAATACTGGTCGATTCGTTGGCACCTAAGAGAGTGTTGGCTGGTTAGATTCTTCTGTTCATCGGTGTGAGAAAAGAATTTAGTAGTTCGCAAATGCAATTCAATTCAGGTTTGAGACGATAAAGTACATGTCTGCAAGTCCAACAAATTAGCATCTATTACGTAGCTTACAAAACTACTCAAGCTCAAATTCTCACCACGAAGACCAAAGACAAAGCCATGGCTATGGTAAAGCTGTTACTAGTCAAATGTGCATGAGCCAGGGTTTCTTAACAGCTCAACATATCTCGAAAAAAGTATGACGTTGGATGCACGTTAAAATTGTGTGCTTATTGCTGTCAGCCGAACAAAAACAACAGAATCCACCACCCAGGACGGATCTTGTCAGAACAGTGCCCACCGGCCAAACATCGGGCACTAGCAGCGCAGTCTTGGAATGCGTTCGTCTACATGCATTTTCACTACTAGGGGTGATAAATTATCCCTCTGTAACCCAAAACAAGCACCGTGGAATGCATGCTGTTCCTGCAACAAAGGTGTATTTTATAGAGGGACATGAACTTTTCAAGACATATTAATGCATCCACAAAGTGACAAGGGAACAAAGCAAATTACTTTGACACGAGTATGGGAAGAATAAACAGCTTTAGGTTTCCATGCTTGGTATGCAAAAGGCGAGAAGAGCCCCTGTCAGCGGTTTACATAAAATATGTTTTCATTCAAACACAATTGGGATGCAATCCAAAAGTTAGCAA